GGTTGTAATAAAATGTTTATAAAACATTACTAAATTTTTAATGATTTCGTTGCAATCATTTTATCAAAATTCAAACAATTGTTGAAGAACTGGGATAATTATTGCGTTTGCTGAGAAAACGGAGAGTCGCGGTTTTAAGCAAACGAACATTTTTATTTATATACACTGTTTTCAAATGTTTTTATCGATAACTATAAAGCTCGTCAATAGCTTTTAAATAAACAAAAAAAAGAAAAAGAAAATAGGTTTACGAAATGAGTAGAAAAAGATACTGAACTTAATCTTAATGTAATGATAGTATAGATAAGTCGAAACATTGTTTGAAGATTGATCCAAAAATGTTACGGCTTTGGGCTCCCATTTGGGATTGATCCACTTCCGATTATAGACGATCATTAAAAAATAAAACGCTCTCAGGACGCAGTTATTTTACTTTGTTTATTTTTAGTATTTTTAAAATCTAAATCAACAAAATATCTCTGTAATATTATATTCTGTCGATACTTATATTTGATAGATATTTACCGATTCGTAGTAATGATCACTTAAATCAGACTGACAGTACGATCTTCTGGGACCAGCCGCAACATACGTCTTTTCAAACGTCCTGCCGAATACGAGCACTAACAAGAACCTTTTACCCTTTTGTTTCATGGCCCTTTGAAGCTTTTTCCGGAGGAGTGTCCTTTGTTGAATATTGCAAAGGATACTCTAAGAAGCAGAGAGAACCGCGGGATTAATACATAATGACCAGGCTACTGATAGCGTCCTTTGAGGTCACCCGAATTGCTTTTAGTACAAATGTACTCAAAACCTATTAGGTGGGGTCTTCACCATCAGAATTACACTAAAATAGAATAATAAATTTATTTAATAGTAATAGAGTATTTTATAAGAGAGTAAAAATAAATATTTTTTTAAAGAATAAATCTCCATCTTTTATTTATATGGTTTATATATTATATCTTTTATTTATATATATATTTATATATGACTTCATTTTAAAATATAAAAGAAATATTACCATTTGCCGAGGCATTATTATTTATTAACCGACTATGGTCATGCCAGACAAAAGGCATGACCATATAATGGTGGGTTGTCCACTAAAGGTTATGTTATGATTTTTTTAAGGAAATGCCTGGACGGATTTTATTGTTTCTTTGCTCAAATTATTCAGTGAAATCCCGAGAGTGTTGAAACAATTGAGTTTAAAACATGAACGAATTCTTGTATAAATTGTTTTTTAATCAATCCGCTATGAGGTATGTAACGATATCTTGAAAGAACCTGAACCCATTTTAAGTCTATTGGTCTGAGATGAGGAACCTTTTTACCATTAAAGGCGCAGTGAGATTAGGTAATGATAATGGAGGCCATAATACTCCTTTATATTTAATTGTTACTATTCCATATATAATACTCATACTCAAGTGCAGATATTCAACTTAATTCTATAAATTTTCAATTTTTCGCTATCTAAATAATTTTTTTAATTTATTTATTAAGTATTACAACATTCTGTCACATGGACACTAGTTATAGTGAGGTAGGATAACATTCACACTATATGTATAAAAAATATAAAATAAGTAGAAGTAAAATAACAATAAATAATAATCAAAAAGTATATACAATAAATAAAATAACCTAAAAATAATAAAATTAAAACTAAGCAAAAAACACATGCATACCTATATACACTATTTACAATCAGGCGAGGGAACTCCAGGAGAACCCTGCGCTACTCTCTCAACCGCATCACTGGTACTAAAACCAGCGGAGATTGATCGAGAGCACTGTGGCCACATATGGAGAATCTGGCCATTGCCAGAACTCCAATATATACAATCTACAAAATGTCGCGAGGCCACTGCCGTTTCAACCTTCTTGGAGTGGGTGGTCCTTGATAGGGATTGTGCAAGAGGATTTGGATGATACGTAAGGTTCTGGTGAAATTTGGAGAATTTTTCTGGGATAAGGTCTAGGACAAATGGGATGTTGAGGTCATGATTATAGGGTTTTGTTAGTTTCATAGAAAGGAACATCGACTATTGTTCGAAGGACTTTTGACTGGATGTGCTTGATGTTAGAGAATTTTGCTGTTCCCCACAGTAAGTCCAAATAGGTTTCAGTATTGTCTTGTAGATCAGTAACTTGTTTTCAATAGAAATTCTCTAAATAATTAAATAATAGATAATTTTAGCATTGGATTAATGAAGATCAAGTAAAAACGTTTAGAGGCCGCAGATAGGTCACGAAGGCCGCAGGTTTCCTATATGTGTTCCATATTTTCCAGTGATATCCCATGAGTGTTATAAAACCATTTTGGCTCAAAACATTTTAAAAAATGTATGTTTACTGCCCTGGCACATACCCATCTTGAGTACGTTCCTTAAGAACGTTTATTTTTGAGCTAGGCTAGCTAGGACACCCACATACGTGAACCATTTTGTGAAACTTGGTAAGTTGAACTCAGAGGACCTGAAAACGTGTATATCCCTTGAAAACTCACATTTAACATTGTTCACGATCGTAACATTTTTCCTTATTATGTATGTCATATATAACCAAGAGAAATTTAAAAATATATATGGCATCAGGTTTCTTTGAAATTTGTCTCGATCAGAAGTAATGATGAAACTCCTATTCCCTCCGTTCCATCCAAAAAAAAAAAGATTTGATTGGTCCCTAATTCCTTTTTAATTGGTCATTGGGAAACACGGGAATACCTGATGTGCAATCAAAACTCTTTTATTGTTATTTAATTATTTATGATATTTATTACAAATCAATATGTAGCGGAAAATAAATTGAGGAAGATTAAGTGTGACTTTTCCTCATGGGCAACGTCAAATAGGAATAAGCGCAGAGAGGAAGTAATTGTTACGCGCCTGCGTATAGGTCATACACGTCATACCCATGGAAACCTGATGGCCCATGATTTTTCACCAACATGCAAAACCTGTACAACTCCTCTTACAGTTAAACACATTTTAACAGAATGCAGAACTTACGAAAAATTTATACTATCTTGTAACTTGACAAACAATTTACACTTCATTTTACAGAACAATACGAATGAAATTGATAAATTATTATTTTTTCTGAAATGTTCGAAACTTGAAAAAATAACCTAATTCTCAATAAAAATAAGGTATTAATTAAAGCATTTAATTAAAAAAACTACTTATAACTATAATAAGGCAGATGCTTATTATTAGTCAATGGGCACCTCTATAAAGTCGGTTAGGGACCAAATAGTGAATTCATGAATGGAAAGAATATTGATATTGATAAAAAAATATTTTACCTCTTTCTTATTAGCAACGATTCAATTCTTCCTAAAAATACACTTGACATCTATCTCCTTTATCCACTTCACCCTTTAAAATTACGTAAATAATAATGAAGAGAAGAATAGTTGGGGTGATCAGTCAAATAATAAGGCAAAAATAAATGATAATATTTATTTTGACATTTGCCGACGTTTCGACCTGAAGGAAGTTCAGCCCTGATGATGGCCTGAACTTCAGGTCGAAACGTCGGCAAATGTCAAAATAAATATTATCATTAATTTTTGCCTGCTTATTTGATTGATCACCTCAACTATTCTTCTCTTCATTATTCACGACAGTCAACCATTTACCAATTATGTAAATAATACTCTGAAATGTGGTAGGTAGTAAATACATAGGAAGAGGTTTACGTTTTTACTTTCACTTATCTATATGTGAAATATATAGTAAGGGAAAATATTGCGATCGTAAACATTTTTTAATCTGAGTATTGGACGGAAATACACATTTTGAGGTCCTCTGAGTCCAAATAACCAAGTCCCACAAAATGGTATGTGTGCGTGCGAGTGTGTGCCTGAACAGTCTAACTCAAAAAGAAAAGTCTTACGGAACTGAAATTGCGCATTTAAGTTAAGCATAGAACTGGGATGTTATATCAACCTTTTCTTGAAAATCTGCTTACCGGAAGTGCAACTTTATATCAATACGCTGAAAGACATTTTTACAATTTTCTCAAAAACTGCTCTAACGATTTTGATTAACTCAATGTATCATTGTATAATTAAGTGGTCTTTAATATCATTTAGGTATTATCCCCATTGATGTCACTTCACAGAGTTTAAATGCCCAATGTTCGTATACGTCTTTCTCTAAAGTACCTTTAATATGGATTATTTAAAAAAAAATAAATCTTTGAAAACAGCCTACTTATTAAATTTTATTCTCAAAAAACAAATACCTCAAAACATAAATAATTAACAACCCAAAGAAATGGTGAGGAAGCTATAGCTAGCCCTATTTGGCATACGTTCTTTGAATATTTAAAACGATTACAAAACGAATCTTTTTAAACCTTTTTTATTTAAAATTTTTAAAAAACTTAGATACAACTTATTATGGTTACGATGAAGATGGTAAGTCTTATGGAAGATGGTAAAATACTTTATATTTTTTTACTCTATATAATGGTTTTTTATAATCGTATTTCAAGTTATTACTCATTAAAATGTATTTAATTCATGTTATGACGTTCGATAGATACATAACTATCTCCAGTTAAAAACACTCGTTCTACACCGTTTTGAGAAAATGTCAACATGGCTACATGGAAGCGAAATAACATCAGATAACAATGTAAACAATATTCCATTCCACTTATTGGAAAATAATGATCAAATTTGTTTGCATACTTCCTACTTCACTTCCTCTCCAACATTCAACGCCTTTAATTGGAGGAGGGGCTGAAATACAGGTTTTTGTAAATATTTCCAACATTTATCGCTGCCCTTTAATTAATTTACGATACTTGTAGTTTTTGTAACTTTTTAAAAAGCAAGAAATATTCACTTTTGAACTTTGGCATGCTTCTAATGAGAAATAATTATCCACCCTTTCTATCTTAGTTCGATTAAACCCAATACATAAACGATTAATAAATGAAATAATCAACGTACAATAGTACGATAATAATGCTATACTAACTTTGAGTATAGAGATCTAGCTTGTTTTAGATTACTATCGTCCTGCTTGTGGAAATATCTCCTTACTCCCAACACACAGGTCTTGATGTATCTGTCCCAGTTGAAGTTTTCCAAATTGAACCAGAACTCCTTCTTATCTTCGTCATCCATCTCTTCCCAAACCAACATCTGGTTGTCCATGGTGAACCACCACTGGTTCAAGGTGAAATAGGAAGCGTAGCACATGCCGCGAGTGTATTTCTTCTGTATCTCCCAAACCCTAGAAACAAGAAAACAATTTTATAAAACTTTTGTAAATTTAGGTGTAAAACTACATATGTGTTATAGATTATAGATGTATTCATTCTGAAAAAAGTGAAAGTAATGGTTTATTTATAATATTTATTCATCTTGTGAGTATTTTAGTTTTATCTTGTATTTTTCCCAAGTACACAGTGAGCTGGAGACTACCAAGGATATTGGTGACAAGACGTCACTTATGCATGTCCTAGTAAACGAATACTAGAGAACATCCAAGAAAGATTAGACACAAGAGTGGGCAGTCAAACTGTCATCTCGTTATTCTTGTACTCTTGAGTTCGTCTACTTATAGGGCTGTTGCTCCCCTTCGCATGACACCTGCCTAAATATTTAAATTGCTTAGTTAAGGCCCGTTCTCATTCGCCAACATTTTTTTTTACTAACTTAATTTTTCCACTCATACCTGTCGGAAGTTCCGACAATCAGCGAGTGTAGTGAGGTTTATAAGATTGGCGTGAGGAAGAGTAGTACCCAGCGACGACCTTCCTGTCTTGAATATTATAGATAGTGGATTAAATCCCTCATCCAACTTCTATTAAGCCTCCTTCGGGTGCTATCGGGCATGTTAGTTGTGGTCATGCCTCAAATTAGTGAGTTGGTATGTCCGTATAAATTATTTCGAAATATTTTGTACTATGTCCATATGTGCTGGTTAACTGTTGGCAACTGTAGGTCTGCATGTAAAGTAATGTTACTGATGCACCAGGGAGCCTTGGTGATAGTCCTGAAAGTTTTTGATTAAAAAGTCTGTTCTTGACTTATATCAGTCTTTTTAGCTGTCCCGTATATCAGTGAAGCGTAAGTCCAAATGGGCTTAAGTAAGTGAGTATACGTATTCAATTTCTGTCTAAGTTTTAATTTCAAATGTCTTGAAAGGAGTGAGTATAATATACGTAGTCATGAAGTGGCAAATCCTGTTACAAGTATTCTAATAAAACTACAAAATTACTAGTCTTTTAGTAACCTGTTAACAGTAACGTCACTGAAGCAAAGTCGTCGTTAACTGTTAATCTGCTCATAGATTTATTTTTATCAATTAAAATAAGTCAGCTTGAATTTAAAGTGTGAGCAGCAGATCAACATAACTAAGATCTAATCTTAACTTTTCTTTTAAGTAAAAACTTTTTTTTAGGTGCGTTTTGACTTTTTTCGTAGAGGCTGAATTAGATTGAGCCGTCGAATTTACGAAGTTTAAAGCTCGGGTAAAGTCGGCTGGGGCCGACCAATTGAAGCGTTTTTGCATATGGATTAAAATATCTCAACAGCTAAAAATCGAACCTGTATATTGTTAGCAGAGTAAATTTTCATAATTCCTTCAACTTTGTAATGAGCTATTATCCAAAAATGTTTCTTAATGTAACGCCTTGTTAGAGAGGCGAAAAGGAAAAAAATATGTCAAAAACCAAATGATGATGAGTTGTACGGAAGATATGGATTGTAATATCTCAATTACTAAAAATCGGAGCGTCTCCTGATAAAACTTTATATACATGTATATACAGAGTTTTCCATACAGGTAAATTATTATAGGAATGATAACAGACCTTAAGAGCTACAAAAAAGTTCATATAAACAATTGGTCAATTTTCAGCATAAAAGTAGAAAATGTAAGTTTTTGGGTCGCTGCATACTGGGGCGAACTAACGCTACAGTTGAACATTGAGAGAAAAAACAAAAGTTAATATTTGGAATTTTAACTGCATTAGTGACAATCCACCACCCTTTCCCCGTCATGCCCAGCAATTTTTAATTTAATTGACTCATTAATAATACCCTCATGTGAGATAATAGGAGAAGAAATGAAAACCATCTTTTTTATATTTAAGGCTGGTTAGCCGGTATTTTTTGTTCAAACCTAATGGTTTGTGCTAGAAAGAATTAGGTACTTCTAGTGAATCTTAAGACAGCTGAAACATCGATTTTTAAAAATGTTATAAATTTATAAATAGTTGTTACGGCGTTTCAAACAATTACAAGAAATTTGATCCATTTCGGATGGTTCTGAAGTTTTTTATGGAAGGATAGGTATCTGAATTGAGCTAAATTGGAAACATGGAAATATTAAGGTCGTTATGGATGACTTTATTTGTGATAAAGTAAGGAGCATTGAGGATTTTCCGAAGGACTTTAGGTTGGATACAAGAGGAATTTCATGGTTTGGTTGAGCTCCAAATCTCGATTTCGTAAGTCCAAATAGACCTTATTATAGATATTTATAAGAGTCTTTTGTAATTAACTGGAAGCTTAGAGCGTTTGTCTAGTAAGTGCTGGAGTAGTCGAAAACGTCGAGTTGTTTCTTGTTATACATATTTATTCCAATAAAAATAGAATATTTGTTAATATTCTGAAATATAATATATTTGCTATGATGTACTTATTAATATATATATATATATATATATATATATATATATATATATATATATATATATATATATAAGTTAAGGTACGGAGCGGGACAGTATTAGCGTTAATACCAAATGCAGTGATGTAAACAATCTCAGAATGTATTTATAGAGGATTAGAAGGAGAAATAAACCATTCTTGATTTCGTCTTCATGCGTGTTGTTTCTTAAACCTATTACTTTTTTTTAAGTGTTTCAAGCCCGCTACGCTTAACTGGTGCCGAAACCCGGGACGGTGAAAGAGGTACGTTTTTTTTCCAATCAGTAAAAAACTGTTACCAGGATACCGAAATTCGACCTGAGGCAGCCAGCTCCCATGAACGTGCCAGAGATCCCTCCATTACCGCAGGGAACATTTGCCGCGGTGCATGCAAATGCAATTGAATGGATGAAGATCAGGGTAGCCACTTCACAGGACCTTAGGAAGGCTATATCCGATCTCGAGCGCTTCACCGGAGAAACAGGTGAGCTAAATCACTTTTTAAAAGGGGAAGATCGACTTGTGACAAGAATCAATGCGAAGATCGAGGAGAATCTTATCAACGCTGGAGATGCGGATGCCCTTAGGGCAGCGCCTGTGTGCAGGGTCAAAAGAAGTATCCTGAACCACATTCAGGTGGATGAAGAGACGCCGTGGGAAACGGTCAAAGAAAGGCTGAAGAAAGCTTACGGAGGCGGCAGGTGGACAATGGAAGAATACATCTTCCAGATGTTCCGCGAAACGAAGTCTTCACGCCAGTCAAGACAATATGCTGCAACCCTCGTAGCTCATTACAACCGTATCACGGAGAAGATGCGGGAAACAGCAGGCGCTCCGAAGGTTGAGGCCAAGATGGCCTTTTTGGTGGCACAGTGTCCTCGCACGAGATGTTTCGAGTGCGGGACAGAGGGGCACATTGCGAGGCAGTGTCCGTATATATATTCACGGAGGGACAGAGACCCACAACGAGCAGAGCCGATGGAGGTGAATGCGCAAGGTTTGAGGAGAAGAAGGGTGCAGTCCAGGAGAAGTGACTCATCGACAGAGGCTTCAGAAGAATCTGCAACCACCGAGACCGAGGAAGAACCAGATGACCCAGTAAGCCGGGAAAACGAGAGGAGCAGAGAAGGGCGAAGAGGCAGTGGAAGAAGCGGACGGCGGCCAGCAGTGGAGAGGATCTGAGGAGAGTGTCAGGCGAGAGGTGACCGCACGCTAGTAAATTATAGCATTCGAGGGAGAAGCTGCTGGTTACCAATAATAGAGGCGGGAGGAGTGAGGTGCCTGGTAGACACCGGGAGCTCCAATACCATTATGACGTGTGGAGTGTTGGAGAAGCTGTACGGGGGAGAGAGGACACTCCAAATCAAGGTATGTAGTTGTAAGTTAATCACCCTGGGTGGCCCGTGTGGAGTGGAATGGGAAGTGGAGATAGGATTGAGGGAATGGGCGGCCAAGGGAGGTAAACTTACGGTGCATGTGGTGGGAGAAATGCCCCGGGAATATCAGGCAATTATAGGTTGTGACATGCTGGGAAAGGTGGGCGTACGAATCTCGAATAGGAGAAAGGAGTGGAGAATAAAAATAGGGAATGTGAACTATATGAGCAGGGCAGTAGTAAAGTATGAGGTCGATAGGGCGCGCATAGGGGCTATAAGTCGAGCCGAGGATTGGAGGGTGACAGTGAGAAGGGATTTTGAAGACGTTTTCTTTAAGGAGGGGGATAAATTGGGGGTGACAGGTAAAACGGTGCACGAGATCCCTTTAAAGCACGAGAGGGTGAGTTACGTGAAAGAGAGGAGATATCCGCAGGCGCTTCGTCAACACATTAGGGAAGAGTTGCAGAGCCTATAGAACCAGGGCATAATTGTGGATAGCACGTCGCCTTACAACAGTCCGCTATGGGCAGTGAAGAAGAAAAGCGCACCGGGAGAGAATAAGGAGAAATACCGAGTCGTGATCGATAACCGCAAATTGAATGAAAATACGGTAGATGAGAAATATCCAATCCCGAAGTTTGAAGACATTTTGGATAGGCTAAGCGAGGCAACGGTGTTTAGCACTCTAGACTTAAAGGCGGGATACCATCTTATTAGAATGCTCCCAAAAGACCAGCCGAAGACGCCATTTACATTCGAGAGAGGGCACTACGAATTTACTAGGATGCCGTTTGGGCTCAAGAATGCCCTTATAACATTCCAGCGGTTGATGGACGAGTTTCTCAGAGGAATTGATGAAGGAGTCTGTCAAATTTACATGGATGATTTGTTGGTGTTTAACAAAACCGAGGCATAGCATGTGGAGCACCTACGGAGTGTGTTCGAGAGAGTAAGGCAATTCGGGTTGAAATTTTCCAACGAGAAGTCGGTGCTGGGGCAAGACCGCATCAATTTTTTAGGTCACTCGATCTCGAGCGAGGGAGTCAAACCAGACGCGCAGAAGGTAGAGACAATTCGGAAAATGGCGATACCTAGGGATGTTAATGGGATTCGCAGGCTGTTGGGTACCCTCAACTATTATAGATGATTCGTGCCCGAAATGGCGGAATACCTCGTGCCCCTTAACAACTTATTAAAGAAAGGCAGAAAGGTAATAGTGACCCCTATAATGGAGGATAATAATAGGAGATGCATGGCGAGACTGCAAGAGGAACCAGTGTTGGCATTTCCGGATTTTTCGAAAATGTTCACCATTACGACAGACGTTAGTGAATACGCGTTGGGGGCGGTGTTGTCCCAAGAAGGGAATGGGGGGGAGCGCCCCGTAGCGTATGCCAGCAGGCGGCTTACGGACGCGGAAACCAGATATAGCGCGCTGGAAAGACAACTGTTGGGGATTGTGTGGGCGATCGACCATTTTAGACCCTACGTGTGTGGGAGGAAGTTCCGTGTGCACACGGATCATAGACCTCTACAATCGGCAGGCAAGCTGAAGGAGTCCTCGGCTAGAGTCACACGTTGGAAGGAATTATTGACTCAATACAATTTGGACATCGTATACAACCTGGGAAGGAAAACGTGGTGGCAGATTGGTTGTCAAGGGCAATCACCATAAATGCTATAGAAGAGGACACGGGGAATCATCCATGGATGTCAGACAGTTCCTGAGCGCGTGGACGCCAGAGGGAGAGGGAGGTCAGATTGGAGATGAGTCCCCAGGACATGAAAGTCCAGAGGAAGAGAGATCAGCGGACATGAAAGAACGGGAGGAAATCGTCAACGATAAGAACCGCCAGATCATCTGGAAGACCAGGACGTCGGGTCTGATGAAGATACTATATAGCAAATATGGAAACAGCCGAATAACAACCATTTGGTCACAACCAGGGGCCAGCGTGGACCAGATCTGCAGAGCTTTGAAAGACGCGTCTAAAGCAAGGAAAATTCATCACTTATATGTGGGGAATGAAACGATTTGGGAGAAGATAAAAAGGCTATGGCGGGATGAACGATTAGGGATAGATAGGACATTCATCCGGTGTAAGCTGATGGTGGAAACGGTGCGGGACGAGGAACGACAGAAAGAAATGACTCTTGCTTACCATCAGGGCAAAACGAACCACCGCGGGGTGCAAGAGATATTCCAGGCGTTACGTCGTAGGTATTTTTGGTGGGGTATGAAGAAAACAATCGAGGAACTCATAGGGGCGTGTGAGAATTGCCTAAGTACGAAATACGATAGACACCCCCCCAGAACAATGCAGGAGGAGACACCCACAGTGAAGGCACCGCTCAGCGACTTGCAGGTGGGTAGGTTCACGTGGAAAGGGTACAAGTGGGTCACGCTCATAGACCTCTTTAGCAAAGCCGCGATGGCACACCGAGTGCAGGACCGATCAGCAGAGAGACAGTCTTCGGTGCCCTTCAGACGTGGTTCCAATTTTACGGAGTGCCCGATCGCATAACGTCCAATGGGGGTAGGGAATTCGACAATGCTAAGATCAGAGAGGAAATGAAGAGCTTAGGGGTGAAGTGGCATTTCAACACTCCAGGGCACCCTAAGGGTACGGGGAGTATAGAGAGACTGCATAGCACTCTCAGTGACCACCTAAGAGTATACCAGGGGGAGAAAGGGCTCGAACCGGACATGGCAATGCGGAAGGAGGTGGCAGCATACAACCATTCGATCCATACGGTAACGGGGTTCTCTCCATTTGAAATCCTCTTCGGACTACGCGGGCGGCAACGGGACTGGGAAAGCACAGCTGTGAATGAGGAAGTGACGAGAGGAATCATCAGCAATAAAATGGAATTGGGCAATCTGTGGGAGAAAGTCAAAGGAAAGATAGAGGGAGAAAAGCGTAAAAGAGTGGCGCGGGAGAATTTGAAAGTAAAGGAGATAACAGGGGGATTGAGGATCGGGTCCATCGTGTATCCAGGATAGGGTCTAACAGGGGGAAGGAATTGCGGAGATATGAGGGGCCATTCAGGGTGATAGTCATTAGGGAGCATAACGTTGTGACTATTGAGAGTGTCAAAGAACCAAGGAAAAGAAGAGCGGTTCATATAGAACAATTAAATATCCCAAGTTCAGAGCCAGAGCAACCGTAGAGTTGGAGTGCCCTCATCTCCGGAAAGAGAATTTTTTTTTGTTTTTATGTATTTCAGAATATCATCTTTTTTTTTTTTTTTGTTTTGTATTGTGTGTATATAGCGTTCATACACGACATAGTGTATATATGTGAAGAAACGTGCAGTGAAATGTGTAGTAAGGAGGAAAGTGTATTTTATTTGGTTATTTATTATTGTATATGGATTTTTTTTTTTTAGTTGTTTGATTACATTGTAAATACTGAATACTCCGTACCTTTGCTACAGTAAGTGCAAGAATTTTTGTAGATATGTATGGGTTTTATTTCTTTTTTGTTTTGTTGTTTTATCTATTATTATTCATAAGTTTACGAAGGATGTCCGTAAACTGGTGGGGGGGAGTTAAGGTACGGAGCGGGACAGTATTAGCGTTAATACCAAATGCAGTGATGTAAACAATCTCAGAATGTATTTATAGAGGATTAGAAGGAGAAATAAACCAGTCTTGATTTCGTCTTCATGCGTGTTGTTTCTTAAACCTATTACTTTTTTTTAAGTGTTTCAAGCCCGCTACGCTTAACTTATATATATATATATATATATATATATATATATATATATATATATTTATTCGAATTAACACTGTTATTTATGTTTTAAAATACCCAATAAAAGTCTATTTTTTTTTTTTTTAGTCAAATCAATTTTCATCCAACACTGGTGTTGGCTTACTGTAAAGTTCGTTGTTACCATCAGTTCACTTCACAAACACAAATACTAACTATTATCGCTCAGGTGTCTAAATTCGCTGATGACTCAGGTAAGGCTGGAGATAGTAAATGAAAGACAAACAACTAACTAAGCGGGGCAAAGGCACATGGACTTGTCCAAATGTTGATCTATTTTAGCTGCATTGATTAGCGGCCAAAATAGTCCCAATTCAAGAGATTACTCTACTAGTGGTGCAATTCAAAAGCCTATAGCCCGGTAGGTCTCAAGGGCACATTGCAAATTGGATGATCATTAAAACAGTGAACTATAGCAACAAAGGCTCAACTTTTTCCATCCTTCAGCTAACACAGATATTCGGAATTCGGTGCTGCTTTGAATTTTCCTTAAAAGTATAAATTTGTGGAAGGTTATCCTTAGACTAGAGTGTAAATAGTGAAGCTACTTGACAATCCAAAAACAAAACCCTCGGTTTTGAAATATTATGTTAAAAAAAGCCTTGTATAGAATAACCTATTAAAATTTTGTTAGAAATGCAAGTTCATTTATCAAATATTAAGAATCTCTTAAATTTAAAAGGTCCATAGGGCCACTTGATGAGTCTATGACCATTTTCAGCATAGCTGACCTGATATGTTGGCTAACCTTAGACTAATTAGTTAAATTAAGCATGAGTAAATATGGGAAACCATGGAATCGAGGCAGGATAGTCTATCTGTCATTTCTTATTCCGAGAATTATTTATTTAGAATCGGCAAACCTTGCGTGTGCCACCAAATCCATATATCAAGATTCAATGGACGCTATACCCTTCAATAGTTAGACATCACAACATTTCCACTGTTATAAAGAAATAAATTATGAGCTTAATCTCTGTCCTTTGCTTTTTGTATTCCTAATCAAAGCCGTCTATCCATATTGCGATGGTGGAGACACATCGCTGCCCTTCCCCAACCAATGTTTAAAATGTTCTTTGATTCCATTTTCAATTCACCTGCCCATCTCTACTTTCCGTTATAGAAAGCGTCACGTATCCGGAATACCTCAATAGCATTCAATTATTTAAAATTTCATATGGTTTATAAAATTGTCACATAAAAAAAGCTTCAGTATATTTTCTAACTTCCCAATAATTTAGAAAGAACAACACCCATGGTTCTAATGAATGAGTAGGGATGGAGTAAAAAATGATGACCTGCTCTAGCGGAATATTGGAATTTAACTCTAGTGCTTCTCTGGCCATGATCTAACAGCTGATTGCAAGGAGGTTCTCCAGATAAATTTAATCGAATGAAACAGAGACTTGTACTAAAGAAGGTTGTGCGTTAATTCGAATATCACACTAACCGGCAATAGTATATTTGATTGAGAATAATATTCTCGAATAAAATGAAAATAGGTTCAATATAAGGTTTATTTTATTTATTTATTAGTTATGCATATTCCTGGCTCACAATAAATTTGCCATCTACCACGGTATTCAGCAAATATGATATCGAGGAGAAGAAATGATAGCATAAAAAAAAAGAAGAGTAATAACAAAACAAAAAGACAAAAAAAAACAGTAGCAAAATAACACATAATAATACATACATAATAACATAATAACACACAAAAAAAGGATAATACAGCAAGTAGCTCAATGCAATAAGTCTCTTGGCCAGCGCCTCAGCAGTTTTCTGGCCGAATTATATGGATTTGTAGCAGTAGATGAAGCTTGAGTAAGTAGATTGGAATTTAGAGTCAGTCTGTCATGAAAATTTATTAAAGAGGTCAGTGGCAGTTGCCGTGATGAAAGGATTGTTAAGGTCAGTGTGTAACGTGGGGTTACAATATAATACTTATACAATATAAGTATAATAAGAAATTAAATTACCTGAATGGAACGTCCAAAGCTAGGCCGAAAAAGTCTAAGATGAGAGCCGGTAGATAGTGGAAGAGAACGACGATGAACCAATTGTGGAGATAGCTCTTGCGACACTTGGCCTTTGGAGGAATGATAACATTGTCCGTCGGATAATTCTCCAAATGCTTCATCACTGTAGAAGTGTAGTCCGACCACAGGATAGGGCTCACCGTGCCAGAGGTGTAATGGTAGACCTGCAAGTCACTGCAACAGGGAGAGAATCATCATTGTCATATTCAAATATAATATATCATTTATATTATTGCGGTGTGTAGCATGTTATTTACCATAGAATAATAAAAAAAATCATATATACTTAAAGTACCAAGTGCTTTGTGGATCGTGGATGCTGATCTGTAAATTGAATTAACTTTCATGAAATTTGAATATATTCCTTTGAGTTCTACCAATGGGTAGTTACTCTTCATTTTGTACATGTCATGTTAGCAATGTCACATTTACTTGTTGTATTTTTCATGTAATACAGTTGTACATTTCATTAAAATTAAAAAATAAATAAAAAAGAATATATTCCATGGTATAACAATAAATAGAGACATCCCAGTAAATACAAATATAAACAGTGCCAATAAAGAAAATTACAGATAATACAGAGGTATGGCTACCTTCCTTCATCTGCTGTACCCAGACTCATAAATATAGTGTCAAAAGAAAGCCTGACGATTATCAAAATTCTAATTTAAAAACGCAAATGTCTAGATATATTTAAAATATTTTGTTCAGTATTTTTAGTAGTTTCAGACACCATTTTTCAAGACTTGTGATGTGAGATTGAAGACTTTGGGATGCAATAGATGGATCGTTATTAACTGATAGGATACACGTGTCATCGGCATAGGTGGTGATGACAGTGTTGGATTGGGTTGTGATGTCAGCTGTATAAACTGTGTAAAGGATAGGACCTAGGATACTACCTTGAGAAACACCGGCATACTGAGTAAAAAGAGATGAATAAACATTGTTATGATTGACTTTGAAGTATCTGTCAGTAAAGTAGGATTTAGTAATTTGAACCATATGATCTAAAAATCGTTCGAGGCGTTCTTTCAAGAAAATCTTTACAAAATTTTTAATTGATAGATAAAACACATTTTATTTTATGATGTCATTTTACACTTCCAACTTTTAATTTTTTTTTTGACATAAACATTTTACACTACCAACTTTGAATTTTTTTTTTTTACCACCAAAATTGGTGATTTTGCCCCCTTTGTGCCGATTCCTCTTTCTACTAATGACCTCAGATTTAAAGTCGATGATTTCTAAACATCACAATATTTTTTCTCACTTATTTTTACAACCCCGTTTTATGTTCTACTCTAACTTGCCTAATGTTTAGATCTATAAATGGAATGGTATTAAACAAATATTTATTTTAAATTTCCAACTTGTAAGTGTTATATTTGAAACTGTATATAAAAAGTTTTGATCCCAGAGCGATCCATCCAGGCGCAATGGCCGTTTCTAAAAACCACTTACTCCCTCCAGTACTGGAGACCTCAAGGCCAATATATCTTCCTCCAAACTCAATTTCCGCCGGCTGGGTCGATGGTCATATTTTCACTTAAAAGTAAGAAAAACTAAATGTAGATAGCAGCTGTAGGCGGAAAAGTGCCAATATTTCATCATTTTACACAACTCAATATATTACACATATATCAATAAAATCATATCCGCGCTTGGAAGAAAAAAATCTGGTTTATAAATGCCAAATTATAGATTTATATATTTTTTTTTAATCAAAAAATGTCGATTTCAAATATCTCCTTAGAAGTTTATAGTTAAGATATTTCTAAATTTATTCCTTTGTTATTCTATTATAATTCGACCTAATATTATTGTAGTTACTGAATATATTGTTAGCAAATATTTTACCATAGTTGGCCAGATTTGTGTTTTGTTAATTTGTATATGATTGGTGATAAAGTTTATTTTCTATCCATCTATAAAATTACTGAAGAGGAATTACACAAACCATTGATGTAGATATGGAATGAATTTAACACAACTCTAGATAATTCAAAATATTTTTCTGAATTATTTCTGTTGTTTTTTTAACTTGTTTATTTAGAAATATTACAATCTGTCTCAATTAGGGGCACTTATAATAGAGATTTGAGAGCACACACACACCATTTATAGAATAATAAATAAATAAAGTAATAACAACATAATATATAGCGAAATAAGAACTCAATAAAATATCATAGTGAGAGAAGAAAAAAATAATAAATAATAATAATAAACCCGCAAGCCGAAGTGAAGTGCGTCGCTGCTGCGGCTTCATGTACCTCCTGGTCCAGATGTTCAGTACAACCAAACCCCATCAGCATAACGGAACACTGCACACATACACTTAAAAACTTGGTAAAAAAAAATTGGTGTTACATTTGATCAAACCCTCTTCCAAATTTCAAACACAAACACATCTCCCACAACACACATCACACATCTCCCAAATTTCCCGTCTTACTATCTCTACCCTGAAACAGTTTAACCGTCTCAGCTATCTCCTTCCATATAAATCCCGTCAACTTCTGGTTTCTTCCCTTGTGTTCCCCCAGTCTGACTATAGCTGTCTGGTGTACGGCGGACTCTCGGGAGAATCCGAGGCCAAACTTAAACGCCTAATGAACTGCGCAATACGTTTTGTTTTCGGAATCTCAAGAGATACACACATTCAGTATTACACCAAGTTGAAGTAGCTCTATCCATCCAACCGCCGCCTGTACTTCCTCGCTACCTTTCTATACCAAGTCATCAGAACTCAGCGGCCTTCCTATATTTTTCACAGCCTACAATTTAAATATTCCATTCATTCCCATTCCACTTGATCTCGTACCTCCGACCTCTATCTACCTCCCCACCGAACTGCTTCGATTGACAAATCCTTTATAATTCAAGCCCTCTACTGCTGGAATATCATCCCTCCCGATATCCGACATGTACAATCAGTTTCCTCATTTAAATCTCTCCTTTCCCTTCTATTGATCATGAAAAGTAGATAAGAGAACTTTCACGTTCGTATTATACATATCTATATGTTTTTAGTGTTATTGTTTTATTTTTTGTTTTATTCTTTTTCCAATATTTTAATCTTAATGAGAATTGTAAATATTTAATTTTATGTATAGCCACACAGGCATTCATTCTGTATCTATAATTTGTCCTAAAAGGACAACAGTCCCAGGATAATAAAAAAAAATATTTTGATTTCATTTCATTTCATAAACTGACACAAGCACACAAGGTTTTGTTATAATATTTAACGCCTGATTCAGACATAAATGATATCCGTCATTGAATATATGTTGGAGAGAGATCAGCTAAACCAAAAGAAAGGAAGAAACAAGAATTGAGTAAAAATTTGCCATCATGGAAAAGAATACTAAACAGTAAAATCGAAATAAAACCCATTAATTCACCAACCCAAACTTGGTGCATTGCATATTAAAGAAAAAGAAACAGAAGATTTTTGGTCTAAGATATGGGAACCTCCGAAACTGAACACTTTTAATGGATTTTCGATGAAGAAGACTCGGAAACATACAGGATTAATTTATTCGATGGATGAAATGACGTTAACGAAGAATATGTCAAACAAACAGTTAAAATAATGAAAAATTGGAATCACCTGGTTCAGACAAAATTCTGAGTTATTAATTAAAGTACTTTAATAGTACGCATTCAATTTTGGAATCTTATGCAAATTATTAGCCAATGCCATTATTCCACCAGAAGATTTCTATAAAGGAATAACATATTTAATCCCTAAATTTACTAAGAATCTTCGTGAACCTAAAGATTTTAGGTGTATCAATAATGGGATAGAGTATCCTAAATGGGGTTTATAATTGCTTACGTATGTGATCACTTGCAAAACATTGGACCATGTCAACTTGACAAAAGAGCAATTAGGATATAATAAGGATGTAAGGAGCTGCTGGTATTAAATTCATTCATAGCTTTCCACATATCGGAGAAAAGGCGAAATGTTTCTATTGTCTGGATCGATTACAAAAATGTGTACAAATCAGTTCCTCACAATTGGCTAATAGAAGTACTAAAGATGTGCAAAATAGACATTAAAATAGTGGAGCTATTAGAACTTCTAATAAAGACTTGGAAGGTGAAATTACACTTACCAAAATTTAGTCATTCCAATATTTGTATTTTCCAGTTGTTACCCAATTAAGGCAGGCTTCACACAAGGCAGTGTCTTAGGTCCAATTTTATAGATTCTCTTCCCTGCTAATATCACTACAAATTCCATTACCTTCCGAGCACCATGCGCAGATGATACCACCACCCTGTCCTCCCACATAAATCCCGAAATCGCATCCCCCAATCTTCAAAGACATCTATCCCTGATAGAACAGTGGTGCAACAATTTGCGCATAAAATTTAATGAATCAAAATGTAAACATGTCATCCTTCGACGGAGATCCTGTTTATCTTCATCTCACTCTCTACCTCAGACACTGTCCGATATCTCGGCTTCTTTGTAGACAAAAGACTAAATTGGAATCCACTAGAAATTGTAACACAAGACTTAAAAGACAAGAGGTTAACCAACGATTTGCCCAGTTATACAGATTACTAAACAGGACATCACATATTTCAATCGAAAAAAAACTATTAATCTATTTATTTATTTATCAACCCTGCCGTGCATAGTAGTCAATACGGGTGTCTGCAATAGTAAGATGTTAGGCAGGTCAGCTCAACATCTCACTGCTGCAAATGAATCTCGTTCTTCTGCTCTTTCTTCATTTTTTCCTCTTTCTTCATGGTTGCTTTCCTCATCCGTTTCACGCCAATGGTATAGTACCTCTTCCTCCTCTTCTTAAATTAAAATGGGCTGGCCCCACCGCGACTTTCCACCCGTACACAAAATCTTTGTAGTACGGGTAGTTTTCTGCAGTGACTAACTGAGGAAAATCGTTCTCTGTGAGAATGTAGAGACCGGTTTCCCTCAGTAACTTAGCCCTTAGTTCTTCAAAGGCGGTGCAGTCCACTATGATGTGCTCAGCAGTCTCCGGAACACCGCAGCTAGGGCATAGGGGGTTGATGTCCATCCCATGGCAATGAAGCTTTGCTCGAAAGCCCCCATTGCCTGTGAGAAATTGCGAGATCCAATAGTCTGGGACGATCCACCTTGCTTCTAAACGTGACCGGACGTT